GGATAGTTTAAAGGGGTCATGATTGACCGATGTAGGAGTTAACTGGAATCAATGTCGGGACAGTTTAAAGGGGTCATGCCGAACCGATGTAGAGAACTGGATGTCGAACCAGCAAGGGTGGCACACACATAACTTATGACATGGTGTTGAACAATGATGGTAACCAATAACTGAGTGCGCTAGGGGGCTGCTTAGATTGTGCACCAAATGGGGCGGCTTGGGTTGTGTGCCAGATGAGGCAACATGGATTGTGCGCTAGAGGAGGCGGCTTGGGTGGTGCGTCAAAGGGGGCGGCTTGGGTTGTGCGCCAGAGGAGGCAGCTTGGATTGTGCGCCAGATGGGGCAACTTGGATTGTGCACCAGAGGGGACAACTTGGGTGGCGTACATGGTGTATAACCATACTCACCATGATATAGGTATAATATCCCCTTCAAACTCAAATAGGTTTGAAGATAGAAATCTATTTGAGGTTGAAACAGAAGGAAAGACAAAGTGAAGAAGAAACACACAAAAAAAGAAAAAAAAAAAATGGGTTGCGAGCAAATATATATATATGATAGAGATATTTGGGGTAGAAATAAACCAACGGATAGAGGAAGAGATCACCACGAAGCGACATTGAAAGGAAAATATGGCAACGGAATAGGTTGAGGTTCGGTGAGCAGCCAAGGCAAGGCTACCCCCAAGGCAAGGCTGCTTCTCGTCGATAAGGCGAAGAACACCAAAAGCTTAAACTATAGTTCTGATACCATGTTAGAATAGTTGAGAGAGAGAAAAAAAAATATATGTATTGTATTTAATGAATTGTATTGAATGATTGTCTTATACAATAGAAAGCTTGTATATATAGGTTGAGAAAGAGTATCTTATAAGAGACCTAACTATAGCAATACCTAATATATCATATATACATTAACATGTGGGTTTGAATCCGAAAACTTTGCCCAAAGAGAGAAAAATCTTATTTTTGGCCAACATTTGAAGCTCTGACGACATGCACAAAGAGATGGAACAAGGCGTATAAGGGGTAGATTGAAAACTAAGTCATGAGGTAAATCCAATGACGCAAAAATAAGGCGAAACCAAGGCAAGGCTGCCCCCAAGGCAAGGCTGCTTCTCGTCGATAAGGTGAAGAACACCAAAAGCTTAAACTATAGTTCTGATACCATGTTAGAATAGTTGAGAGAGAGAAAAAAAAAATATGTATTGTATTCAATGAATTGTATTGAATGATTGTCTTATACAATAGAAAGTCTGTATATATAGGTTGAGAAAGAGTATCTTATAAGAGACCTAACTATAGCAATACCTAATATATCATATATACATTAACATGTGGGTTTGAATCCGAAAACTTTGCCCAAAGAGAGAAAAATCTTATTTTTGGCCAACATTTGAAGCTCTGACGACATGCACAAAGAGATGGAACAAGGCGTATAAGGGGTAGATTGAAAACTAAGTCATGAGGTAAATCCAATGACGCAAAAATAAGGCGAAATAGAGTTACGACAAGAGAGATACAAGGGTTTAAATATGAAAATTTTGTCCAAAGAGAGAAAAATCTTATTTTTGTCCAACTTTTGGAGTTCTAACATAACGCATAAAGAGGTGGAACAAAGTGTAAGAGAGGTGAAATGAAAATTAGGCCATGAAGTGAATCCAACGACATGAAAATGAGGTGAAACAGAATTATGACGAGAGAGATATAAGAGTTTGAACAGATGGGTTTGAATCTAAAATAAGCAAGAAGATGGAGATGGACGAAAGGTTCACATTGAAACACGCATGAAATTTCAGGATTTAATTTGTCGAAATTGAAACTTTGGGAGAAACACGCATGAAATTTCAGGATTTAATTTGTCGAAATTGAAACTTTGGGATTTAAATTGAAAAACATGCAAAATGTTATGATTTTTTTTTTTTGTTGTTGTTGTTGTAATTAACCTTTTTTTTCCTCTTAAATGTCAAAAAGCAAGATTAAAACAAACACACACACACACACACACACACACATATATATATATATATATTTCGAATTTGTTAAAATTAAAGATCTCAACTTTACAGGAAAATTGATGTATTATGTGACTAATCTGTATTTGTGACAATGATCTAAACAGTTTTTCTCATATATAATCATATGATCAAATCTCACACACACACACACACACACACACACACACATATATATATATATATATTTCGAATTTGTTAAAATTAAAGATCTCAACTTTACAGGAAAATTGATGTATTATGTGACTAATCTGTATTTGTGACAATGATCTAAACAGTTTTTCTCATATATAATCATATGATCAAATCTCACACACACACACACACACACACACACACACATATATATATATATATATATATATATTTTTAATTTGTTAAAATTAAAGATCTCAACTTTACAGGAAAATTGATGTATTATGTGACTAATCTGTATTTGTGACAATGATCAAACCCATAATCATTTCACTTTTTCTCTCACAAACATCACATCCAACCACAAAAAAATCCAATCATCTTCCCAAACACAAAAATTTAGCCAACTAAAATAGCCAAAAACTAAAATAACCTACTAAAATAACAACTTCCCAAACGAAGCCAATATATATAAAATTTACATATATGATAATATGATTGTATTAAAATTCAGGAATAATTACAATTCAGTATAGGTAGTTAAAAATAATTTCAAATTAGTTATAAACTTCATGAAAATTAATAATCAAAGTCTTTAGTTTTTTTTAGGAATTTATAATTATTTTGTGAAGATACCAATTTTTCTAAAATTTATTATTTTAAAATAAATTATTCATTTAAATAAAATAAAAATGTTAGTCACGTCATAAAAATTTAATATAAATAATTTTTTTTAATATAGGTAAATGTGACATAATGTTAGTTTAATGATTGGCGGTTGGGAGGGATGACGGTGGTTGCCTTTGAGTCTACGGCACATTCATAAACTTGGATCCCCAAATGAATACTATAGAAAAGTTGGATCTCCAACTTGTATTAGTATTATATTTATATAAATAAACTTGAAACATAAAAAGTCAAAACATTTATTCGAGAAACATGGGACTTGCTTCATGGACGAAAGTTATGTTTTTAAATTTTTATTGGGAAAATTAGATTTTAGTGGTGTAATGAAAAAATATATTTATGTTTATGATGATATAAGTTTTTTTTTGTTTATATGGTATAAATCATTTTTGTACATGTTATAAGTTCATTTCATATGTCAGAGTTGTAACCATTAAATATTTCATCTACAATTCCACAATTTGCTTGATTTGAGTTTTTTAAAAAAATTTATTTTCTTATTTTTTATATTTATTTTAATGAATTTTTTTAAATATTTTAAGTAATTTTTTTTTAAAATTTCTAGACACACATAACATAGCTATACTTAAAAAGTATAATTTTAGTGAAAAAAATATTTAAAAAATTCACTAAATATAAAAAATACAAAAACATATAAAAATTCATTATATTTTTTTATATTTTTGTGTATTATTAATTTTTTGAAATATTTTTTCACAAATATTTTATTTTTTAGATGCATCTAAGTAAGGTGCATCTAAAAAAGTAAAAAAAAAAATTAAAAATTTAAAAATATTTACTAAAAACAAAAAAACACGAAAAGTAAAAAAACTCAATTTTAAAAAAATTAAATTCAAAAAACCCAAACCAAACACACATTATTTTTTTTTTATTTCGTTGATTTGTTATATCTTCAATTTCATTTATACATTAAATTTATATAAAAATCATTTGGTACATAATTTATTATCAGAATAATATTACATTTTAAAATGATAAGATTATAAAGTACTTTTTTATTATTTGTATATATTATTGCTCGTCACGATTTTATTGTAATTAGTCATTTTGGAGAATTTCTTCTCTAAAATTCTATTATAGTAGCATTAATATAGATTAGCGGTTGGCACACAAAATAAGTATGTAATTCAAATAAATAAAAATAAAACATAAAATTTATTATATATTTTGTGCGATTCAAGTTATAAGAATACACCAAGACATTTTATTGAGAATATAATTATATTATTGAGATTGAATTAGCATAGTATCAATGAGATTGATACATCAAAAATGATTTTTCCCCCGAAATTTTCCCCCCGGGAACAGCCCGAAAAACAGATAGAAGAGAAAGAGAAGAGAAAGAGAAGAGAGGAGAAGAGAAAGAGGAGGGGAAGAGGGAATGGAGAGAGAGAGGGCCCCTCTGCTTCCGTAGCTCGTCGCAGCTCGTCGATCGATCGTCGCAGCCCCGCCTCCGCCTCCACCTCTGCCTCTTTCTTCTTCTTCTTCTCTTCTTCTTTCTTTCTTCTTCTTCTGATTTTCTGATTGAAAAAAAAAAAATCAAAACGATGAAACAACGTCGTTTTGAATTCTAGGGGGATTCGGGGGCTTCAATTTTGAGCTACGTAGCACGGTTGTTGATACATAGGCTTCGTTTGACATTGATTTTTTGGGTTAAATTAGTCAAAAAAATAAAATAAAATGCCACATTCAAATTATAATTATTTTTTTTTCACAAAAATTAAAAAAATAAAAAAAAATTCAAATGAACTTTTTAACCGAAACTAGAATAATTAAAAAATAAAAAAATCAACTAAAAAAGCCACATATCAAACACCAGCATAAATTAAATCTGGACCTAAACTTCACAAAATTGTAGACAAACATCTCCAATGTTACTATAAAATTATAACATTAAAACAAATAAAAATTATATTATAAAAATTTATAAAGGACTTAAATATTTCGGTAGTACTATGTATTAATTAATGTATTAATTAAAATACTAATATTAATTATAACATTATTATTTAATTATCAAATTATAAATATTAAAAATCTCTTAAATTATATCAATTATTATTAATTAGTAGATATAGTATTATTATTTTTTTTTGGCTTGCGCCTCAAAGACACCGCCTCTTATTTAAAAAACTCAGATCACTCTTATCTCACTTCACAAGCAACATTCCCTCCATCTCTCTCTCTCTCTAAAAATGGTTTCAAACACCAAAGAAGTAGCTTCAGAGCTTCTACCAGTCCTCAAGGTCTACAAAGACGGCACAGTCGATCGTCTCCTCGGCTCACCCTTCGTTCCTCCCTCCTCACCCACCACCACCACCACGACGACCATCATCTCCAAAGACACCACCATCTCCTCCGCCGTCTCCGCCCGTCTCTACCTCCCTCCCACCACCACCACCCGCCTCCCCATCCTAGTCTACTTCCACGGCGGCGGCTTCTGCATCGAATCCGCCTTCTCCTCCTTCTGCCACCGCTACATCACCTCCCTCGTCTCCCATTCACCAATCCTCGCCGTCTCAATCGAATACCGCCTCGCCCCCGAAAACCCTCTTCCCATCGCCTACGAAGATTCCTGGTCCGCTCTCCAATGGGTCGCCTCACACTCAATCAAACCCAAATCCAAACCCAAACCCAATTCAGATCCATGGCTAAGCAATTACGGCGATTTCAGCAGAATCTACATCGGCGGCGATAGCGCCGGAGCCAACATTGCCCACAACATCCTGATGAGAGCCGGGGTCGAACCCCTGCATGGCGGAGTGGAAATTCTGGGTGCTTTTCTTTCCCACCCGTATTTCTGGGGATCCGACCCGATTGGGTCCGAATCGAAGGCGGATCGGGAAATGGGTTTGTTGCATCGGACGTGGATGTTTGCGTACCCGGGTGCTCCGGGTGGGGTGGATAATCCGATGATCAACCCGTTTGCGAGCAATGCGCCGAGCTTGAAGGAATTGAAGTGTGCTCGGATTTTAGTGGTGGTGGCGGAGATGGATGAGCTGAGAGAGAGAGGAGTTCGGTATGGGGAGGAAGTCAGAGAGAGCGGTTGGGGTGGAGATTTGGAGGTTGTGGAGGTGGAAGCAGAGGATCATTGCTTTCATATTTTGAATCCCGAAACTAAAAATGCCAAGAATTTGATCAAAGTTCTGGCCTCTTTTCTCAAATAAATTTAAAATAAAAAATAAAAAAATACTATACCTAAACAAAAATTTTATCTGATTTTTCAACCACTCTAGATTAAAATAATAGAATTCGTGTGGCTCTATTAATTTTACGTCTAGTGATAAAAAAAAAATCAGTTAAGAAATTTATTTATGGTATTATTATTTTTACATGTGAACGGTTTGGTTTCATTTCATGGTGTATTAGGGTTAAAAAACAGCACAAACTTAGAAATTTTTATTAAAAAAAAAAAATTAAGATGTGTTTGGTAGAGTTGGTAAAATTTTATGTATTTATGTTTCATTTTTCTTCCGTGGCTGTAAAAGCAGTGGACTTTTGTTTCTTGAATTTTTCAAGGCATCATTGTGGTGGCATTGTGCTGTCTATTGAATGTTGAATACATGTTGATTTGATAACCCCGTTGTACTATTTTGAAGGTTGATGTTATTATTATCATTATTTTACAGTCTTTGTGAGTATCATTTTTTTCAAGGTCTTGGTTTAGCATTTTTCAAGGTGGATAACTAATTTGAATTTAAAGTTTGTATAGAAATTCAACACACAGACTTCAAGCTTGAGTTAGGTCAATTTTGGAGGGAAGTTTCACAATTTGGGCTATGCAAAAATAGAACAATCAAGAAAAAGCGGCGGCGTTATACATCAGAAATCATACATCCGTTTAATTTGAGAATTTTAGAAGAACACTAATAATGTGAAAAATTAAAAAAAAATAAAGATCAAAATCAAAATATCACATCACATGAGATTTACACACCAATTAAAACTATTAAAGTTCTTAATTTAAAACTTTCAGTCTTTTTTGTGTTTTATACATAGATGGTTTCAAACACAAAATCTAGATAAAATATATTTATATTTGTAATTGCGAACGTATATATCGGCCTTGTTTGGTTTGTGTTTCCTAAAAATTTTTAAGAAAAATTCTCTACAAATAAATTTTCAAAAGTAATCAAATCAAACAAATTTTCTTAAAAAAATCATAGTTGTACATTTTGTGTTTAAAATCTTCGATACACCTAATTTTTTTAAGAAGAAATGAGTAAATGATAAATGTATTTTAAGCGAGCGCTCTTGAAACATTGGGGTCTTTTGGGAAATAGGTTAGAACATCTCCAACAGTAGTTGGCATTTTACCTTTCTAAATATTACTATAAAATATATATTTTATTTTGCCTATCAACTGTTTTATGTTTTTACTCCAACCATGCTCTTTATTTTAGCTATTTATCCAAATACTATTAATTTTATAGAATGCCACGTCAACAACAAAGATGGAGGGAAATGATTCTAATTATTGAATATATTTTGCCTAGTGTTGAAGGCTAGCTACATGTAGCTAGTGAATATGAGTTGAGCCAAAATGCCTAATCATATGCCTAGTACATTGGAATTGAAAAAAGTGAATCACACTAGGCATTTTAACTAACAAGTATTGTATGCCTAGTGCATTGGAGATGCTCAGTAGTCACTTCTCAACTTTTAACATATTTTGGATCACATCATTTCTTATATTTTTTACATATTTTTTGAAGAAAAAAAAAATTCAAAAAATCAACTTTTAATTATCTTTCCAAAACAATCTAATGTGTTTGGATAATTAGATAAAACTTTGGTGTTTAGCAATTTTGGTGAAAAAAATATAAGTTAATTATTTTTATCCATCCCACACCAATGTGAGTGATTTTTTGGTAATTTATTTTGTATGCCTGCATTTTGTTTATTCATATTATTCTTACGTTTTACCTTTTCCTTTTTAAATTTCGACACAAATTTATGGTCCAAACACAATTAATTTATTTTTTTAATTTTAAAATTAGATACGGTGGATTGCCAATAATATAATCCTTATGTTGTATTTATGTTGATGTTTCATTTTTCTCCTATGGTTGTGAAAGTTGGTATGGAATGGATTTTAGTTGGTTGGCTTTTTCAAGACTTTGGTGAGCTTTTGGTATGAAGAATGTTGACTACATATTGTGATTTAATAAACTAAGAGAATGCTTCCAAGTAACATACCTCCAATATGGTTTGCTAATGTTCTGCTAAGTAAACATTAAGAAATTCAAGTAAACATACCTCCATGGCCCCGTTTGGGAACTTACCTTTTTAGCCAAAAAGCTAAAAAGTTACTAAATTAGCCAAAAAGCCAACAACCCATACCAAAAAGTCAAAGATTCTCTTTTTTCTCTACTTTTTGCACATCTTTTCGTAATTAGCCAAAAAGTCATCCCAAACATACAAGTTTTTTTTAGCTACCTTTTTAGCCAAATAGCCAAAAAGTTACTAAATTAGCCTGTTCCCAAACGAGGCCAGCATTAAGACACAAACACTTGAAGCTTGTGCCAGGTAAATTTGGGGGAAAATCCCACAATTTTAGCCACCAAGGGTTGGTTTGGGAAGTAAGTTGGCTTTTTGGGTATTTGACTTTTTTGGCTATTTTATCTTGGGCTAAAAAGTTTGATTTGGAAAGGATTTTTTGACTTTTTGACTTTTTAAACTTTTTTTGTGAGAGAAGAGTGTAATGATTATGGGTTGGATGTGATGTTTTGTTTGTTATAACTAAAATAGTCTATTTTGTCTTTTGTGATTAAAATAGCAAAAAAGTCCACAAAATCTCTTCCCATACGGTGCCCAAATATGGCATGATAAAACAAGAACCAAAGATAAATTTTCAATCGTCATCACTTGTTAATTTTGACTTATTTATTTAATTGTTTATTGGCTAGTAAGTATTTTCAAATATATACTATTACATAAATCAACACAATATTTATGCTTGAAAGTCTTATTACAATTTTCTAAATTTTTTGGATTTATAAATTTATAAAAATATACCTTTCATGAAGTTATTGGATTCCTTATTAGAATAATGCTTGGGAACCCCTTTTGGGGGTCACCCCCTCACCCCCCCTTTGCCACATGGCGGGTGGTGATTGGAGGAGCAGGAAAAAAAAGAAAAAGAAAAAGAAAATGTAATCAATAAGAGAGAGAGGGGGTCAAAGGGGGTGGGAGGAAAAGGGGGATGAATCATTGTTGTTCTTATTAATATGTTGGTATCTTTTACCACTCTAATCATGATTTTAAAACATTTCATATGAAAGGTAATGCAAATACATTTTTTATCCACTACTTATGCTTTTGTAGAATTTATTTTATTGAATTATTATTGGCCAATCAACGGGGTTAGTTAGTTTGGCCAAACCATTATACTCCATATGGCACCGTTTACACTTCAGAAAAAAAGGAATAATAGTGATTTTTCATCAACGTAAGAAAAGAAAAGAATTGATTATATTTTTTCACTGTTAAGTTTGAATGAGCAAGAAAATAAAGTATATGAGAAAAAGATATAGATGAAAGTTCTTTTTCTTCATTTGTATTTTAAGAGGGTAATCTTGGTATTATAAATAGTTTATAACCAACCAATTTATTTTTCACCAAATCAGATCATTTTTAGTGAGAAATGAAATAGATTTAATAAGAGAGTTATATTTCTTACTATTTTTCACTCGGGCTAAGTTTGGTTGGATGAAAATTGTGGAAAGTGAGGCAAATGTAAAAAATTATTATTATTATGTTTTTTTTGAATAGGATTAGCATGAAATTGCTGGAATTTATAAAAAAAAATTAACGTTTTTAAACAACTTATTGTGGGTGTTGATTTTTGACCACACAATCAAACAAGGAACTTAGCTGCAGAGTATCGGCAGAATAGATTAAACGCAACAACCTACAACAAGAAGACAAGAATACCGCTGTGGTTCGCTACTGGGAGGCACTCCGACGATCAAGTCTGTGATCTATATTTTCCAAAGATAGCAAATTATGCTTAAACTCACAAGAAAGAACTTACTGTGGACTTGCCTTTTTCCGCGCCCCGTCTTTCGGAAAGGGTTTGAAAAGAAGGCCTCACAGTTCGAACTCCCGCGGTTCTAAATCTAATCTGACAAGTGCAATGTGAAATTGATAAACACCAATGAGTCCAAATCTAGCAAACCTTTTTGAAAAATCAATTTTAAATCAAATAATGCCAAAATTGGACTACTTTTCTAGATATAAAATCGCAACCTAAATATTTTATTTTTGGAAAAATTTAAAAAACCCTGACTCGTGCCAAAGGTCACGTGTCCGTCATCACCAAAGTTGCCTCGGCTCGGGAACTTGGGTACGAGAGGAGAAGGTCTTGAAATGAGCACCCCCGCTCGTCTGATCAAAGATCGATCTCTACTAATCATGATATGAAATTTTATAAACATTATGTGTTCTTATTCCGGTTATTAAACTAGCTTTACTATGTGATGCGCATAAGCAAGTATAGACTAATTTTATAAACATTAGTCTATACTTGCTTATGCGCATAGTGGGCTTAAAACATGATTTGTCACTCAATAAAGTAGGTTTAAAATGCACATTTGTTGAATCGTTCCAATCCAAACAACAAGCCTTCATCCACAGGCATTCATGCAGTTTAACATTTAAGTACATAGTCTCATGGCAAGCATGCTAATCATGGCAATATGGCAATCGCATTCATGCAAGTATGCTAAAGCACAAAACTCACCGAGTATTCCAAGTCAAAACAAAAACTAGTTAGAAAGATGCATGATCCTAACTATGTTAAATGTCTAATGCTGCAATATGCAATTAATAGGCTTGGCTACTAAAATGGCATATGAATCAATTTGAGCAACATGCGATTAAACACGTATTCAAAGAAGTATTGAAATGACAATGCAATTTGAATGATGCGTCGAACCTCAGTGTATGCAATACAAATGAATAGATGCAAGCATGCGATATGCTAATTAAAATATGTCCATAATCTAACCATCAAAAGCGATTAAATAAAAGGGAAAAAGACGTGGGGTTGAAATACATACACATACGCACGCACGCTTATTACAACATTATGCCCTCACAAAAGAAGTCTGAATGAATAAGCTAACCAACTAGCTACGCTAATTAAGCTAACTAATTATTACAACAATTGAAACGAATTAACTAACTTATTCTAAGCTAATTAACAAATCGAATTAATTAGCTAAATACTAAGCTAATTAAGTACAAAGCAATTAAACTAATTAATTAGCTACCACTAATTAACTAAACAAAGCAACTAAAAGGCCTCGAGAAGTGAGGGATGCATGCGTGCTTAGTTTCTTCACCCGAAAAGCCACCGCTTTGCCACTGAACGCCTCTGTTTGCACATTTGAACACCAACAGTGCTGCTAACTCCCAGAATGCCTCTGCTTCACCTTACCAACATACTATGCAAATTTCATTAATGGCCGGTCGGCTACTCCTGGTGGCCGTCGGCCACTGCTGATGGCCGATCGGCCACTGTTGCCCTGAACTTCCTTTTGCTACAACAAAGAGTAAACAGAGGCAAAGTAGTGTATTCTCAAGGGTTGTTTGTACTGTTACCCTTCTTATCATCAAACGAGCTCAAATGAGTATA